AGTTTAGTTTTATAACTTTTTACTTTAGAAGGTACTCTAAGCCTAATAAAACAGCATTAGTACTATCCCTCCTGCGACATTTCATAAAATGCACCCAAAATTAGTAATAAGATCTTCAAAGGTAGGCTCAAAACTGTCTTCAACGGGCATAGCTCGAATAATTATTACACTAAACCAAATCCAAACTAACAAGTTAATCACCCTTCTAGCCAAAACTGCTATAACACAAAACCATATGAGATATTCAGCACAGCTTGCGACTACTACAAACTTAGCACAAAAATCAGTAAGAGGAGGAAAACCAGCAAAGCTTAGCCTTATAAATAAAAACCCTGAAAAATAAAAATTTGGTAGGGTAGCTCCTATTTGCTTAATAGTATCTGACATACAGAACCTTAGAATTAGCACTAAAAATAATATTCTTATAGAGTAACAGACAGCATAAAACATAAACACGCTTTTGCTAACCCTCAAACAAATTACCAGTAAACCTGTGTTATTAACAGAAGAATAGGATAAAAAAGTTTTAATATTAGTACAATTAAATATTGCGATAGGCCCGTAAAGAACTCTTGCAACCGCTCTAAGTACTATCAGTTCGTTTACGTGCTCGGCTATGTCAGCCTCAGCAAAAGGTATAGCTAAAATAAGAATAAATTTCTGAATTACCCCTGTTAAATAAATTCCAGGATAATGAAAATTTACAAACGCTCGAGGCACTCAAAAATGAAGCGGAAAAAGGCCTAGCTTTAAAATAAATCCCGTAGCCAAAAACATTAACCCCATACCTCCAAAAGAGGGTTCCCACAGCAAAAGACCGGAATAAAGAACTCTTGCGCTGCCTATAAATTGAACTACAAAATATGTAGCAGATCCTTTATACCACTGGTACATCCCAGTCAAGGACATTCCACAGCATAAAAATGGAACCAAGAAAATAGTGCTTAAATCTATCGCAACCCAAACTCAAAACACTCTAGTTACAAAATTAACAAGAAGTGCGAAGTAAACCCCAAGTATTATAAAAAGTATACCCGCTAAAGAATAATACATTCGAAATATCTCCCAATAAGCTTTAACGCTTTGAGTTAACTTCTTTTTTAACTAATATTACAGCTATACTTTATATAGTCTAAAATTTAAGCACCTATGTCAGGCTGACCCTTTCAAGGATATATTCAGATTTGAAGTCTAATAGTTTTTTTAACTTACAGCCCGAAATTAAGACAGAGACACAATTTTTGTACTCTTAAATTTGCAATTTACTGTTCTTTATTAAACTACTCTGCCTAAAGCCGTAACTAAGAAGAGACCTAGTCGCAGGAACTTTTAATTAACAGTCAAACGCTTTCAAATTTAAGCTACCCCTTCCACTAAACCTGCTTAACCATTACTTTGTACTTAACAGGAGTTGGACGAAAGTAAATTTTTGACAACCCTAAAAATAAAGACCTTTGAACCAGCATAACCACTAACTCCCAAATTAAAATAACACCAAATCACAATATTGTTTTAGGAGACAAAAATTTAGAATAAGCAACACCATAAGCCACCATTTTAGCCAAAGAGTGACAAACAACAGCCCCAACTAACGCATTTGCCAACATTCGAACCGTAAGAGTTACTGGACGAATAATCACCCTTAGAACTAATAAAGGAAAGTAAAGAAATGATTTTTCAACAGACTGCTTAAATTTAAGCGATTTTCTAAAAATATCAACATCTGTTTGTAAAATATTTACAGAGTAAAAAAGCCTAGGCATTAGACCTGCAACCACTTCTCATGAAGACAACCCAGGAAAACCTCAAGGCAAGATACCAATAAGTACTAGAGTAATTGTAAAGTCAAAAATTCATCTTAACCCTTCTCTAACCCCTCCTCCCAGAGCCCTAAAACGTTCTTTTTTACTGTGTATTCTTCTAACATAAATTTTTTTATAAATTCCCCATATTCTTATTGAATTAAATATTCCATTAGGGGAGCAAACAAAATACCTCATATAACAAAAAGAAAACACCACAAAAAATACAATTAACCCTAAAAATTGAATTCTCATTTCATTGCGACTGAAGCAGTTCCTAAAGAGTTACAATCTTCTATACTAGATATACTACACAACGACAACAAGCAGCAAATATAAATAAACACAACTTTAACTTACAAGAAAATTTAAAAGCTTCCTCATAAATCTCATTTGAACAACAACTCCACTAAAGGGTAAAATAGAAAAAACACGGAAAGCATATCTCGCGGAGTAACCTCTTCAAACAAAACAACATCGTCCTCTGGAACTGGTCCGTGAGCTAATTGACAATATAAAGCGAATCTGTAAACTCCCCTTGCAAAGAAGTAAACAACCAGAAACAAAAAGCTTCAAGGTCCCACAGAGATCACTCTCACTACTGCTAAAACCTCCCTAATAATGGTAGGACAAGGAGGCACCCCCAGGTTTATCATAATAAAAACGAGCCACATAAAAGTTAAAATGGGAGTAGTACGGCAAGCACCACTTATTATTTTTAAGTTTCGAGTGTGAGTTAACTCTCTTCTTATCCCACATAAAGCAAAAAGTCCTGAAGAAATAAACCCATGACCCATAAGTATAATGAAGGCGGAAGTTAATCCGACCTCTAAACAGCTAAACAACCCAATAATACAAAATGCTATGTGGGAAACTGAAGAGTATGCAATTATCTTTTTCACATCGCTTTGCCGCGAACATATGAAAGCTGCATAAACTCTTCCAGTTAAAGAAAATGAAATTACCAATAATCCAAATTTTTCTAGTCTATAAGAAAACACAGATATTATTCGAAGAATTCCATAACCCCCTAACTTAAGGAGAATTCCGGCTAACACAATAGAACCTCCAACGGGAGCCTGCACATGAGCTTTAGGAAGCCATGTATGAGCAGGATAAGCAGGAAATTTAACTAAAAATCCCGAAAAACATATAATTCAAAACCATCAATCAATGTGTAGTTTAGGCGTTGTAAACCAGAGAAATCTTGTCCCCAGCTCACACTCTATGAAGATGATTACAAAAAGCAAAGGAAGAGAGCCCCCAACAGTATAGGCACTGATATAACGAATTGCCGGAATACGCTCAGGTTGCTGCCCCCAAATGGCAATAATTGCTACTATCGGAATTAAAGTTCTTTCAAACAGTACATAAAAAATAGACATCATATTTACCAGAAAACAACCCACCAAAAAAATGCAAAGTAGAAGTATTAACCACACAAACCTTTTGTAGTCTCCTCGCAGTGTTCCCATAGACCCCCTAGCTAAAATTCTTACACCACATACCCAAAAGGTAAGTGTTACCATTCTGGATCTGAAAATATCACTAGTTAAGTATTCACTATAAGACTCCCAAGAAATACCGGGACCAGACCATATAGACATTCTGTAAATTGATCAGAAAGCTATTAAATTTGCAACAGCTATTAACTGATCTTTTTTATTTAAGAATAAAACCATTAAAGAAGACCCTAAAACTAAGTATAACAAACCCATTAACCTAAAACTATTATTTTAGTATCTTCAACGCCACAAGTTGATGTTTTTATAAACTATTTAAGCAGTTATACAAATTATAAATGACTATACTCTTTTAGCTCTATACGGTTTTCTATGCTTTCAACGACGAAGCGTATTTCGTTCCGGTTTAGACATTACAACCACCGCTACCATAACAACTAGTAAAACTGGAGCCAAAAACCTAATTACCTGCCCATGCGCCCTTAACATTCCGCTAGAGTCTCACGGGCTGAATAAATCAGGACCTGAGTATCCATACGCAGATATAGACCAAAAAATGTAAATTCTTAGCCCAGTGATATAGGAAACTCTTGCAAGGCAGTATCTTTGACCTCGGCCTTCAAATTTTTTAGGAAAAAAGGTCACGAAATAGCCAATTACAGCGGTAATTCCACTTACATAAACCATAAAAGAAAGTAAAGACAAAAAATCACTACAATTTTCTCCAACTTCCGCGAGAATTGCCAACCTGAGAAATACCCCAAAAAAGAATAAGGTAGAAGCATATAAAGTTCCTAACACAAGCATACCCAAAGCAAGAAAAACAACAACTTTCACAAACTAAAATACTACGTATACAGTACCCAAGCCCAAACTAGCTCCAACTCCAGAGGTTACAGACCCCCGCTGAATTACATTATGGAAATCAGAAAGATACTCTAAACCTACCTCCAAAGTTCTAACCGGAATGGAAACTTCAGCTACGTTTTCCCCATCTCTAGATACCCCAGAAAATCTAGTTCTACCTTTTTCACTTACAAGAGAACGTGAACTCAAATCTAAAAAAATTATACCATAAATTCACTTAGGCTGGAGTTCGTAGAACTTTGTTAAAATTAACTGTAATACAGTCCCTGCGACTACCCCACCTACCACCAGCAAATAGGGACAGAATCAAGCTTCACTAGAGGAAAGCACCTCAAAAAAGAACCCGCCAGAAGACCTTAATAAGACAAACTCTCCTCCAATTAAACCTATAAACACTAAAAATACGCCCGGAGCAGACAGTGTCAAAGTCTCTCGCGCCCCTAAAAAGTCTCGAATTCCGTGCTTAGCTAACCTGGTTACGCCGACAAGAACCCGGACCGAATAGAGAGCAGTTAGACCGATACCTAGATACATTAAGCCCCCTATAAACCAAGAATTTCTTGAGTAACCAGATGCAACAATTGACTCTTTAGAAGCATACCCAGCAGTCCCCGGAATTCCTATCAAAGAAATTCTTCCTATGAATAACCCAAAAACAGCTGAGGGGGATAAACTAGCAACACTTATACCAAATCTTCTAAAAAATTGGTTACCCGCGTTATGCCTGATTATTGATCCAACTCTTAAAAACATTCCAGCTTTGAAAAAAGCATGACACACCAAATGTATGAAGGCTAACTCAACTTCCCCTAGGCCTAACCTAAAAGCCATAATTCCTAATTGCCTTAGTGTTGATAATGCAACAACTTTTTTTACATCCCTCTCCATAACTGCCCTTACTCCTGCAATAGTAGTTGTGATGATACCAACCCCTATTAACAACCTACAAGCTGCATTAGAACTTAATCAAAAAGTAGACGATCGAATCAGCAGATAAATTCCAGCAGTCACTAGAGTAGAAGAATGAACTAACGAAGAAACTGGAGTTGGAGCCATTATCGCAGCAGGAAGTCACCTTCTAAAAGGTACTTGAGCCCTTTTAGTAATACACCCTACAATAAAGATAAATCTTCAGCAATAGGGTTTTATATCTAAGCTTAAATCAGATGCTATACACATACCAGCTGTTCTACAAATTAATAAGGCGTCTCCAATACGGTTAGTTAAAGCAGTAATTATTGGCGCATCAAAAGACTTTTTCCCCTCGTAGTACATTACCAGTAAAAAAGAAGTAACCCCCAACCAGTCTCACCCTAGTAGCACCACTGGTATTGACCTAGCCACCACCAAAACAAGCATTGACGAGACGAAGGAATACAGAGTTAAGTTAAACTGCTTTTCTGTATCTTCTGAGCCTATGTAAACCCTTATAAAAAATCCTACACACCCAGAAATTATTATGATCACTCTTATAAACAAAGCAGCAATTCAATCCAAGCAAAGGTCTAGCCTTACTGAGACTATAGAAACATGACCTAATTCCCAACAAAACCAAAAACTTAAGCTACAATTAGCCATAACTGCAGCAAGTAACCTAAAAAAAGCCCTAAACACTATTGATACTCATGAATTTAGTAGTACCATAACCCAGTTAACCTTAGAGCCAACCTAAGCACACATACTGGGTAACATTTTAATATTTAGTTAGAGTTAATTCTAATGTTTAGGATTATCTCCTCTTTCAACAGTCCTTTCGTACAAGTCGAAAGAAATTTCTAAAAGAAGATAGAAACCGACCTGGCTTACGCCGGTCTGAACTCAAATCACGTAAGGTATTAAAGGTCGAACAGACCCACTTCCAAAGCCTCTACGCCTTAGAGTTATCATCCTTAATTCAACATCGAGGTGCCAATCCCATTAGCCAATACGAGCTCTACTAATGGATAAGCCTGTTATCCCCGGCGTAACTTCTCCCATGATCGGACTTGCCGGGTCTACACCAGACAGTTACTTTTAACAAATAAGAAGGTTAAGTTTTACTTCCTAGGCGCCCCACCTAAAAATCTTATAGCTCTTAATAAGTAAGTTTTTAAAAGCTGCACGGGGTCTTCTTGTCTAACTTTCACATGAAGGTATCTTCACCTTCAGTCCAATTTCGTCATACAAAGCAAGAGACAGTTTGACCCTCGTCAATCCATTCATGCAGGCCTACAATTAAAAGGCAAGGAATTTCGCTACCTTGGCACCCTCACGCTAGGGCGGCCGTTTACAACTTTGCACTGGGCAGGTACTGCTAAGAGTAAAGTTTCTCCTAGTGATGTTTTTGTTAAACAGGCGAGGCCAAGTATTTGCCGAGTTCCTTTTGCTATGTTTTTTTTCATAAATTTCTTTTATAAAATTTTAACTTAAGCCTAACATACGCCGGGATTTAAAACTTCAAGTTTTTTAGGGCTTAGGAGCATTACTTACTACATTTACTTAAGGTTTACTTAATTACCTTCTTAGAATATATGGGATATTATTTTAATTAGAACCCCCGGAAACTCATTCTTACTCACTTACACTTATCTCACCCTTTACTACACTACTACTACTATAATATTCTATACTCATACTATATTATGTTATCACAGTTTTTCCTTATGTTATATTATTTTTCTCTCTCTTACTATACGAATCACAAAAAAATTTTTTTAAAAAAATTAATTTTTTTAAAAAAAAAGGTTTTAAAACCTAAAGCACAAAACTTTATTTAAAACTGCTTACCTTTAATAACTTATCTTCTAAGAGCGATACGCCATAAATGTGCGTGCCTTTAGCATGACAAGCCAACGTACTTACCTATACTAATCGCTCTTTTATAGTGCTTTACTCCCCATAAGAGTATAGAGAATAAACTCCAGACTCCGGATTTCGCATAATCCCTACCATTAAACCCAGCGCCAAAGAAGTTTCACATGCTACCAACACCAGAAACATAAATAACCCATAAGCAGGAATGTACCTTTCAGCGTACATTATTATTGCTCCAAGACCAACACATGCCCCCTCAACTAAAATTAAGTATCTTAAAAAATTTGAAAAATGCTTTAACATAGCTGCCACTAAAACACATACTGTAATTCTATATAAAACAAACGACGAACTCATTTTTAAACTTTAGACACAAAAAAAATTAGACAATAAACCCCTAAGATAAACGGAAGAAGACTAGCTCAACATGCTATTATCAAGAAATCATAACGTAGCCGAGGTAAGGCTGCACGAGATCAAATGAAGAAAAATACGAGTAATATCACCTTAAAAAATGCTCAACAGAGCCCGGCCACATTTAGTATATTAGGGGTTTGAAAGAATCTAAAAACAGTAACAGAGCACAGCAATAGAATTATTCCGTACTCCGCAATGAATAAAAGAGCAAAACCTCCAGCAGAATACTCAGTATTAAAACCAGAAACAAGCTCAGATTCCGCTTCCACTAAATCAAATGGTGCTCGATTTGCTTCAGCTAAACAAACAGTTAACCACAACAACACGACCGGAGGGCAAAAAAACCTTCATCAAACAGACCACCCAGATTCAGCAATAAAAAAGAATCTTATTCTTCCCCTCAGAATTACCACCACAATTAAACAAATCCTCAAGCAAATCTCGTAAGAAATAACTTGTGCAAATCCGCGCACGCCACCAATTCCGGCATACTTAGAATTTGAAGACCACCCACTTATGATAGCAATGTGAGCATTTAGCCTGCTTACAACCAAAAAAAATAAAATATCATTAGAAGATCAGCTGGATAAAGCAAAAGACGGAAAAATTTGCCACCCTAAAAGACATAACATTAAAGAAATAGAAGGAATCGCTAAAAAAATAATTCTAGCAGAATTGGCCGGAACTACGAATTCCTTTATAAAAAGCTTAACCCCATCTGTAATAGGCTGAGCAAACCCTAAAAACCTTGTTTTATCTGGACCAAGCCGAACCCCAAAAGATCTTAAACTTTTTCGTTCTATTAAAGTGAAATAAGCCACCCTAAGTAAAACCCCTAAGTATACAAACACAGTTGTTAAAGTTAAGTATAAGTAATATGAGACTTTCACAAGTTCGGGAGAGTAAACTCATTGCGAAAATGCAAACTTCGTCTTTTATATTAAAGTACCGAACTTTATGTCAATGGGTTAGGGCTCATATTAAACCATCCTAACAGCTTCAGTGTCATACCTTAACTTAGGCTACTTACCCAACCAGATAGGCGCAACACACCCTCTTTCGAAACCTAAATTCGACGTACTTATAATCATACTAACCTAGCCTACCCAATTTAGTCCCTGAAGTCGGAGATTACACCCACACTCGAGTTAAAAGCTCGAAGCTCTTCTTAAGCTACGACCCCCCCTTCACATCTAGTTTTCATGTAAAGTTCATTTAATGGTCCCCTCCATTATCTCATAATACAGCCCATAAACCAAAATAAGGACAAACAACACAGCACCAGACCCTTCTGGCGACCAGCCGAATAAATCCTGAAAACAAGGAACCAGTAAAACAATTTCCACATCTCAAACTAAGAATAGAATCACCAGGTGAAAAAACCGAGAAGAAAAATCTCCTGGATTCTTAACAGAAATAAACCCGCACTCATATGGAGAAGACTTGTCTCAGTCATACCCTTCTTTAGGTAACCCAGAAAACCAACAAGAAAAAATAATAGGAACAACAGACAAAACTATAACAATTATCACTATCCTTAGAAGCATTTTATGTGCCAGCTTGAAATAACAAGCCCTTAAAGTACCAAAAACTTTCGTGCTTATACACCATAGCACATTTGTCATGCTTAATACTAACCTAACATAGCAAGGACTAGACTTAGCCAAGAATCGGGCCGAAACCGAGTGTAAATGTTCACTTCTTGCCAACGTTAAGCCAATTTGGGCGCTTTAATCGGAAAAAGAAAAATCTTTCTATTTAAGTGTTGTAAGCACCTGGTAATAATCTTATACTATTTTCCGATACCTACAGACCTTTAGTTATAGTATCACAAAAACTTAAGAGTCTAGAGTACTACTAATCCTAGCATAAAATGCCATCTTACTCTATTTTAGATAGTTACGTAATGTTTGTACGCCTCTACTCAATCAAATTAATTATACCCACCCTTAAAAGACAAGTTGTTAAATACTCTCATCAAAACGGACATTTTAAATCCAATTTCTCTATTTAAGGTATGTAATTATCAGAAAGCAATTAGCATGACCTTTAGCCAAACTGTTCACTTTTAAAGCTTTTATAACCGTTACGCACTTTGTTTTGCGCATAAAAATAACTTTAAAGCTGCACCTAAAAGCACTTTTTACGTAACCAGCTACACTAAAATTCGATATTGCATATCACATCTTTTAAGGGATTAGAAGATTCCTTACATCGTTAACCTTTATAAACCCTTAAAAAATCTTTTTAATTCAGGAAAAACCGCTAGGGTAAAGCCCCTCGAAAGGCCATTATACAAAAGGTACTAATAGAACTAAAGCTTTTTCACAATTATTAGCATCTTACCAGACCAGGTCGTAAGTATTTAGGCATTTCTAATTTTCCTATACTCTGCCTACTAAAAGTTTTTTATCAGAAAACACTCTTTATAAAATCTAAAGCCCACAAAGGAACTAGTGCTCCCAAAGCACTTATTATTATTTTAACTAGCCTCAGTTTATAGCCATGTGCGGTAATTTCCGCATTTTTTAAAGCTTAAATTTAACGCACTTCTCTGCCAACATAGCCAAGAAGGAGCACAAAATCGAATTGCGCCAATTGTAATTAGAAGTCACAGTGTAAGACCACTTATCCCCCTTTTGAACTGTAGAAAAGGGTTATTTACCACTTTCGAATTATGAAACCGACGTCCTTTTTTAGACTACTTTTCCAACCGCAACATTACAAAGTCGTCAAGTCGGACTCAATATCCGGCATCCTAAATGAAGCTCTTCTATAAATAGCTCAAGATCAGAGCATTAGTAAAATTATTGTAGTTCTGAACAAAAAAGCTAAACCAGTCATGTTAAGAAAGTTAAGAGCTCCACCCTCTCACCATGGTATTTTCAAGACACCAGCCTCTTTATGAGGAACTTTCTTATCCTGCAAAAGCTGCAATTAAGCCGCACCTTCGGGGCATGAGCCCGACGATCTAAATTTAATCCATCTTGCAAATTTATGCCATGACGTCTTCAAGCACTCTTATTCACTGCTCGAACACTCGACACCTTACAACTTCTACCCGAATTGGTATAAATCTATGCAAAGCTCCGCAAATTTCAGAACACTGACCCCAAAACACTCCCGGTATTTCTACCTTAACACTAGACTCCCTAAGTCGACCGGGAACAGCATCTGATTTAACACCAAAAGCCGGAACTGTTCATGAATGAATTACATCAAATGACGTAGTCAACACGCGACACCAAACAGAAAACGGCAGCACCATAGATTTATCAACGGTTAATAAACGCGGCTCTCCTAAATTTAACTCTTTTTCAGGAATCATATAAGAATTATAAGTAATTACCGCAAAATCCGAATACTCATACTCTCAATACCACTGATGCCCAATACATTTGACAGTAATAAGAGGAGTCTCTAACTCAGATATTGCATATAACAATCCTATGGAAGGTCAGGATAAAAAAGTCAAGATTAAAAGTGGAACAAAGCCTCAAATTCGCTCCAATGTGTGATCTGTTTGAACGTATAAAAACTGGTGAGGAGAAACTAAACATAATACTACCCTAAGTATAACAAAAATAAAAATTAAAGTTAAAACCGCGCAGTATATCCCGAACACCCACTGAATACGTATTCCAGCAAATGTTACTCTGTTTTGGAAATATATCTGACATCAATATCTCATTTTTATTAAATTTGAATTCATTTCCCATAACCATTGAACAGCATTTTTTCTCATTTAGCATTTGCTGCTGGAATAGAAAGCATGCAAAATAGATGAACAAATGTTCCAACTTGTCCAGCTAAAATTCATGCTCCTGCAGGTTCCTGAGAACCAATAATCCCTAAAAACATAAAATTTGCTACTCAAATAAAAAATAATGCTTCTCCAAGAGGGGAAATAACTATCCTTTGAGCTTTAGCATACTTACCTAAAGTTGGTAAAAGTGCAATTCCTAAAATAGCAGCAAACATAAGAGCAAGACCCCCTGCCTTATGAGGAACAGAACGTAAAATAGCATATGCATATAGAAAGTATCACTCCGGCTTAATAACTGCAGGAGTTTTTATTTTATTAATAGTTTGTCACTGAAGCGGATCAGCAGTGATCTTTGGGAAAGTAAATGCTAGTGCCGATAAAGCAGCTAACATAAATACAAACCCAACTAAATCTTTTGAAGTATAATATGGGTGAAAAGGTACAACTAACTCTGTAGTGTCTAGTCCTAAAGGATTCCTAGATCCATCATTGTGGAGAAGTACCACATGAATCAACCTTATCCCTAAAATCACAAATGGAAGTAAAAAGTGTAAAACAAATACCCGCTTAAGAGTAAAAGTTGAAATAGTAAAACCACCCTGAAACCACTCTAAAGCTCGAGCTCCCCCAGGAAATACTGTTATTATATTGGTAATTACCGTTAAACCCCAATATGATATTACCCCCCAAGGTAATACGTACCCTAAAAACCCTACCCCCATAGACAAAAGATAAAGAGTAACCCCGCTATACCAAACATGGGGAAGTTTTATATACCTTCCGTAATAAACACCACGTCCTACATGAATATAGATTAAAGCGAAAAATAAAGAAGCCCCAGCCATATGTGTTCTACGTAAAGCTCAACCATAATTAGCATCTCGCAAAATGTATCTTATTCTTTCAGTGGCTAAATTTCCGTCTGCAGTATAGTTTATTCTGAGTATAATACCCCTTAAAATTTGAATTGCTAAGGTAACAAATAGTATAGAACCTATGTTTCATCAGATATTTAAATTTGAAGGACAAGGATATTTTATAACCGAAAAGTACGCACTTTTTAAAAAATCGTTTCCGATACTCATCCACAAAATCAAGTGTTTACTTTACTTTTGTAAACTTTGCTTAGGTATTCGGACGGGAAACCTCCCTCTATAAAAGTGAAAATTTTATGTGCTATTTACACTAGCCCGAAATTTTAGTAACCACTAAAACCTGAGTTAAGTATTGGAGGAAAATTCCACATATTCTTCGACATCAACAAAGCCCATTTAACTCTGGCACAATACCTGCATCTACCGCAATTCTAAGAGCCTCAGATATAAATAATAAAAAACAAGGCAAGTCATACAATATCCACAAAATGTCAATACCAAATGGCTAAAACATACCCCAAATGACGACGAGTAGAATATTGTCGTAATAAAAGTCGAACTAAAGAGTAAAGCAACCCACATGTGCCGCCGATTACATGCATCCCATGAAGACCAGTTAGTATAAAAAAAGCACTTCCATACACCCCATCAGCAATAGAAAAAGAAGCCCAAGAGTACTCATCATACTGATTTTTCACAAAAAACCCAGATAAAAAAACTGTTATAATCAGCAATGCAACTGCATGCGTAAAATTTCCATCTTTCAGGTACTTGTGGCTAGATGTTACAGTACAAGATGAAGCTACCAGTAAAGCTGTATTATGTAAAGGAGCTTTTCTTCAGTCAAGACATTCAATTCCTACAGGAGGTCAACAACAGCCGATTTCAACAGAAGGAGACATAGACCTGTGAAAAAATGCCCAGAAGAATGAAAAAAATAGCATAAGCTCAGAAATTAAAAATAAAATAAAACCCAAAGAAATTCCTATTTGAACTTTTTTAGTATGAAACCCTTGAAAAGTAGACTCATTTACGATATCTCGAGTTCAGCCATATACTGTTATAGCAACAATAAGCACGCCCCAAAATAGGTGTCCGTAATCTACTTTGTTTACTCAACAAATAAAAATTGTAGCTAAACCTCATAACCCAATTCTTATTAAGACCGGCCAAGGCCTTGGATCCACAATATGAAAAGGAGTTCGGGGGATTTTTCGCCGGTGATAAAACCTTAACTTTTTAATTCCTGTATTTTGAATCATATACACTTTTTCTACCAAAGAAACCTTTTGTTTGGAAGACAAATATACTAATTTATACTAAAAGTGTCAGTTTAGCCTGATATTCACGCCTCTTGACCTATTACAAGAGCAGGTTCCCCTACCCTTACCATGTTACGACTTACCTCTCCTTTCGGCTAGGGTGACGGGCGATTTGCACGCACCATAGTAACGTCTCTTCAATAAAGCGAATTACTCTCTATTTACTCCCAAATCCCCCTCACCAAACTTAGAAAACTTGAGTATTTCAACTACAGGGCTTGATATAACTAAAAAATTGTCTCTCAGCAAACCCCTTACCCATAAGGAACGCTTCGACCTGACTTTGACTTAGAGCAGAGCACTAAACTTAGTGCATTATCCGCCTAAGGTGGCGCTTATTTTTTTCTACTCACATCATATACTTTGGACGGCAGTACGATACCATATAGGGTAGGTAAGATATCACGCGGATCATCGGATTAAGCGCCAAGAGCCTCTGGATGGCTTTATGGAACCGCCAAGTTCTTCGAGTTTTAAGCAGCTGCTCGTAGTACCCCAGCAACCAACTAATTCTTTAATAGCCGTTATTCTTGGCGTTATGGAATAATTGGGTATCAAATCCAGGTTTATTCCCATAATTTCGCGGAATCATCTTCATGCAAGCAAAGAACCTCCTCCAAGTTTTACTTAAAATTTGACTTCTATAACTTGGCGTATGTCATATGCACTCTGTACTGACTAACCGCCTCTAGGCTGTACCTCTATTAATCCTTCTTCAAAGGGTATGACCGCAGCTGCTGGCACCCATTTTAGCTTATTATTGATTAGTTTCTTGTTCGTTTCAAGCGCTAACTTATTGAGTCCAGGGCTGTTCACTTGAGTTGTGATTCTTTTCGCGTCATCATCCGATACTTATGCTTATACCACTACATACTCACCTTTTAGGGGCAGTAATTAAATTTATCTCTTCTATTAAATTAGCACATTACGAAAATCTCCTACATTGTGTATATCAAAGAACTCTTGATTAACAGTATACCAGAACCAAATATTTTATTTTATACGAAACCTTTTTTCTATTCCGCATCAGTTTTTGCCTTAACAAATTTAGGACTTACAAGGCCCCCGTAATATACTTTATACTAAAACTGATTTTCTGAATAAACATAAACAACTTAAGTTACAAATCTCAGCTTATTTTAAGTGCCTATAAGAAAAATCCTACTTTTTCTTACTTTAAGAAGCACAAAAAAATTTTTATAATACTTCAAAAATATTTTTGTGAAAAAGTTTTAAACTTAGACAACTTAGCTTTAGCTAAGTTTGTTTAAGCACAAAATTTTGTAGCATTATCCCAAATTTAAGTACCCACCAACTTGCTTACAGACGTGTACCTAAATACTTCTTTGCTGGGTCTTTTAGTATTTTTGCCGACTCCAGAGCAGCATGCTTTGGAAGATTTACCATCACTGACCACTCAGGAGAGCTTGAACTATTCCGAACCGAAACCACAGGCCGGTGGGCGATAAAAGCTTCTCACACTAAAAATACAAAAAATAGTAAAGAAGCTGTACTTAAGTGTGACCCAAAAGTAGATACTTTGTTTCAAAATCAAAACTGGTCTGGGTAGTCCGCCACCCGACGAGGTATTCCCGCTAGCCCTAAAAAGTGATGGGGTAGGAAAGCAATGTTAACACCTAAAAACATAGCAACAAAGTGTCTCTTTATCTTCTGACGATGAAGCATAACACGAGAAAATAAAGGAAATCAGTGAGTAAAGCCAGCCAAAATTGTAAAAACAGCTCCCATTGATAAAACATAATGGAAATGCCCAGTTACGAAATAAGTGTCATGGAGAGTTACATCAATTGAAGCACTAGATAAAATAAGCCCAGTTAATCCACCGATTGTGAACAAGACAATAAAACCAGTAGACCAAAGCATAGGAGCATGTGTTGATACCTGTGACCCCATTATTGTAGCAATTCAAGCAAACACTTTAATTCCAGTTGGAACAGCAATAATTACAGTTGCCGCCCTAAAATAAGCTCGTGTATCGATATCCATGCCGGCAACGAACATGTGGTGCCCCCATACAATAAAACCTAAGAACCCAATGTTTAGTATAGCATAAAACATTCCCATATTACCATAAGCTGTTTTTTTTCTAGACCAAAAGCACAAAACATGGGAAATTATTCCAAACCCAGGAAGAATTAAGACATATACTTCAGGGTGACCAAAAAATCAAAACAAGTGCTGAAATAAAACTGGATCTCCGCCACCTACAGGATCAAAAAACGAAGTGTTAAAATGTCGATCTGTCAAAAGCATGGTAAGACCCCCTGCTAACACAGGCAAAGTTGTTAGTAATAGAAAAGAAGTTACTTTAATTGATCACGGAAATAACCTTAATAAGTGACCGTCTACAGAACGCATGTTTTTAATAGTTACTATAAAATTGATTGAACTAAAAATTGAACTAAGACCAGCTAAGTGAAGCCTTAAAATAGCTAAGTCTATACACATTCCATGATAAGAAAAAGTAGACAATGGGGGGTAAATAGTTCAGCCAGCACCAACTCCATTTTCTACAAATCCCGATATTCCTATAAAATAAAGAGATGCAGGCAAAACCCAAAACCTAAAAGCGTTAACTCGAGGAAACTGCATATCAGGAACCTCTAGCATTAGTGGGACTAGCCAGTTCCCAAAACCTCCAATTATAACGGGCATTACAAAGAAGAAAATCATTACTAAAGCGTGTATAGTTACTACAGCATTATAACAAACAGGATCTAAAAACTTAGCCCCCGGATTAAATAGTCTTCATCGAATTAGAGATCTAAATCTAGTCCCAGCCAAAACCGACCAAAACCCAAAAACCATATAAAACCTACCAATGTCTAGGTGATTTGTGGACATAATGTACTCCCGCTTACCGTAAAGTAGAACAGGGCAAGGAATAAATCATTTCAAATTGTGTGTCTTAGTAGCATCTAAGAACTCATAAACTCCGGACATGTTTTTTATCAT